GTTCCGCGCACGCACCACCACGCTGGACGGCCCTGGGGGGCGCAATCTGCGCAGACATGATGAAGGACATGGCCGACCTAGGGGTGCCTAAACAAAAATACAAGACCCTCAACCTGCACGCTGTAGAAAGCATGACAGCTGTCTGGGGCCGCCGAAAGCAACTGCTGCATGCAAACAACTGCCAGCCATCGAGGCCGCGTCAAGGGCGCGGCGTCACGTGAACATGCCCCTAGTCTCCACGGGGGGGGGATGGCTCACCACACACACCCCTCTCCTTAACCCGACGCGACGCCGCTTGCAGCGTGGCTTCTAGCCGTGCGAGGCGTCAGCGTAGTCTCTCTGTCTCTCTAGATGTTCGAGTGGCGACCCAAGCCACACGAGCTAGCTGACCCGTATTTTTACATGTGCGCGCGGGAGGCAACACACATGTGTGCTGGTGCGCATCAAAGCTTCTATTGTGCATCCAGCAGCGCACCAGTAGACGGTCAAACGCTAGAACTTTGCAATGGGCTGTGATTTGTCCTAAACCTGCCGTAGCGGGGATGACATCTTGGCACTCGCAGTCCCAATCCCGATGCCCCTCACCGCCCGCGGGCTGCCACCTGCCACACCAGCCGCGCCGCCGCCCGCCACCTGCGGCGAGCTAGGGACGCACATTTCGCCGCCACTGCCTGCTGCTGCCCGCCGTGCGGGGCCCAGCTGCACCTTTCGGGCCCTGGCCGCAAACTCTAGGCTGCACTTGGTCTCGCCAGCGCTCTGGGGCGCCGGGCTGCAGTTGACAATAAGCAGTGTCTTGCTGCTAGCTCCAAGAGAGTCCTCTAGAAGGCGGGTAAGCTGGTTGACGGGTGTGCGAGAGTGAGAGAAAAGCATGCGCATTAGCAACATCTGATCAGTGGGTGTGCCATTTTTGCAAGCAACCTCTGCTTGAATGTGTGATTGGCATGGCCCCCTCCCATCCTTTTTCCCCCAAACACCCTTGCCTGCACCCCAAGGCTCGCCTTGCTATTGCGGTAGGGCACATGTGGGCTCTGCTGTTGTAGTGCCTGCACCACGTCTCCCAGCGCCGCCAGGCTCTTGTTGATCGCAGCCGCCTCTTTGAGCCGTTCACCCTGCGCCCCCGACCTCGCCACCCTTTCACTGCCAGCAAGGTCCACCAGGTGGAGCTTAGAGCGACGCCGCACGCCTTGTGGACGCATGGATGGATGGGCGAATAGCCAACAAGTTGGGGGGATGTGCAGATTCAGATGCAAAGGGGCCAGTAATGGTGGCTTGTGTGAAGGTGCATTGCAGGAGTCGCGCGCAGCCCAGGTCTGCTGTCCTCCCACACGTGCGCCGCTGCCAGGTGCCAAATCAAGCATGTGCAGGGTCGAGCCACTGCACCGCGGGCACTGTCAGAGCAAGTGTGCGTACTCAGCCCACAGCGCACATGTGTCCAGGTTTGTAGACGTGGCGTACACTGTGAGCACCAGGTGGCTCCTGCTGCTGTGCTCGTTCATGTTGGTGGCAAAAGTAGAACGGTTGGCACTGCCCCGCACCAGCAGCGCCGAAACGTCAGCCATCGAGCAGACCGGGGCCGTGACGAGGCCCGGCACGAACATGCCGCCATCCGCATCTTGCTTCACATCCAGCCGGTCACCTGCAGGTTGGCGAGGAATCAGCATACCAGGGCTTTGTCAGAGTGTGGCGTGCATGTGAGGCGGACCTGCCAACACAGCTGTGCACAACACAGCTTTGCATTGGAAGCTTCCCTTAAGGCAGGCCAGCAGTTGCAGGGAAGGAGGGCACAGCACAGCAGCCAGACAAGCGGCCATTTGCTGGGAATCACGGCTCTCTGTTCATGGGGTCGTCTGCTCACTGGTGTCCTTGGTGCCGCTGAGCAGGTCAAAGAGCTGTTCGTTGTAAATTTCCAGTACCGATGCGCCAAATTCATACGCAACTTGCTCAGACAAACCAGCTGACCCCCTGTATGAATGAGGTTTGTGCACGTTGAGGGCGCTTGGGTTGCTGCAGCTACTATATCAGGACAAATAATTGTGGGGGAGCCCTGCCTCTCTTGATGGTAACGAGTGATAAATCCGCCCCCAGCCAGCTGTTGGAGCAAGGCGCCCCGCCCCTCTACTGATACCAACATGTGTTTGTACGCGGGCTACGGGGCGCACCTGAAGAGCATGGCCAGGGCCCGGCTGTACACCCCGGGGTCCTCTGGAGGCCCCTGCATGGTGTAGGTCTTGCCACTGAGGTGTGATCACACATATTTGGGGCGGTGCAATCATGTGTGAGGCGCAGCTGCAGTGGGCTGTAATGCGCTCGGTAGTCACGAGGTTTGCTTGCACGTTGCTGGCTGGCCTTACAACATGCACCCCGCCCACGCTCTGCTTGTACGGGCGACCTGCTAAACTCGCAGCCCCCGGCGCAGTAGACTGCGTCTTGCAGGGCACATATCTTGCGACATACGTCCCCCACCCAGCGCGTCCGCCCTTGAATCGCAACGTCACCTGCCAGTCTGCCCGTACGCCATGATGCAGACATTGTAGCCATCCAGCACGCTGCCCACCAGCGCCGATACCTCGTCGAACACCTGCAAGCATGTTGGTGCACGCAGTGCCATGCGTACGTCATGCTTGCAACCCCTGCAGTAAAAAAAACTTGCACTGAAACAAGCTGCCCTCGAACAAGCTGGCTGGGCTAGAGCCAGCTGCTCGAGCCTGAATGCCATTTGACCACAAACCCCACTAGCAAACAAAAGAACACCCATGACCACTGCTTGGTCAGAGCAGGAAGTGCAAGCCAAGGACCAAGCATACAGCCGCACCTGCTGCTGTCCATCAGAAGGGCCAAACACTCTATCAAATTCGAATTCCTTGGGACCACTTGTTGCTCCCCCGCCGGACGGCATCACCACGAGCCGCTCCTCATCCAACGCCTGCACTGCCGCCGCTGTCGTGCGCTGATCGCCGGCTGCATTGCTGGGGCTGGCCGTGGCAGCAACAACGAGCTCCGCGGCCTCTGCGCTGCTGGTGGGGCGGATGCGCGCCAGGATACGGATGTTGCCCCTGAGCTCCACAATCTGCGGCCAGTGGCAAAGCGGGCGACAGATCTCAGTTGGTGGCTGTAGTTCGCCCCGTTCGAGGTTGCATGTGAGGGCGCAAAATCAGTCCATCACGGTCAACCACATGGATGTGCCTTGACAGATTGTTCAGGCAGCGACAGTCCGGCCCATGGTGCACTGCAGCACCACGTTGCCCACCTGGTTGTGCAGATTGCGTCTCCGCTCGTGCTCCAGCCGCCAACGATCCTTGTAACCCTCCACTGCAGCATCTGCATCCTTCTGCACTGCTGCAAGCTGTGCCTCAAACTTGGCAGTGGCGGCCGAGAGCGCGGCGCCTTGGGCGGCCAGCTTGGACCGCAAGCGGTCCACCTCGGCAGCGGCCGCGGCTTGCGCCTACGCAGGCAAACGCATGGGTTTTTGAGTACCGAGCAGGAATGCCCACCGCATGGCAACTCTTGTGCGTGGCCGTGGCGCTTGGCCACCTGAACCTCAGTCACACAACGTTGGTGCTTTACTGTACATTCCCATGAGCCTGGATGGCTCCAGGAGCGGGCGACCGCGGGACGCTGTAATAATCCTAATACTAATCCCAATCCTTGGCTGGACTGTGTCTAGCTACCTCGGCTTGCTTTTCCACCCTGCACAGCTCGCACCTGCGCCTCGCGGGCTTGTGCCTCCGCCAGCTGCATACACAAGCTGCCGCGCTCTTCCTCCGCCGCCGCCAACGCTTTGACTGCTGCCCGCCTCTCCGCCCCCGCCGCTGTCAACTCTTGTGCAGCGTGCGCCACCTGCGACTGCAGCCTCACACCCTGCTCCTTGAGCGCGCCGACCTCCCTCCAAGCCGCCTCAAGCTGCTGCTGAACGGCCGCCAGCCGCTCCTCGGACGCCTCGGCACGTTTGGCAACTTCAGACCGCGCGCACTCCACCTGCTGCTGCAGTTGACGCGCGTGCGCCCTGGCCTCCTCCAAGGCAGCGGCCTCCGCCGCCAATCGCCGCTCGAGTGCAGACCTCTCTTGCTGCGCCACAAGGCTCAGCGCGCGGGCTGCCGCCTCGGATGCGCGCGCCGCCGCCAAGTCTGCTTGTGCGCTCTCCGTCTGAGACACTGCTAGCTTTAGTAGCTGCTGGTGCTCGGCCTCTGCAACTGCACGTTGCTCGCCGTCAGCTGCTCGTTCCTGCCTCAGCATTTTGGCCTCTGTGTCCGCCACCGCCACCCGCGCGCTGCGCTCTTCAAGAGCCTGTCTGGCATTAGCGAGCTCTGCCATCGCCTCAGCCAGCTGTCGCTGCATCGCTTCGAGGTCTGCTGTCGCGCCTGCTGCCTTGGCTTCTCCCGCCTCTGCTGCCAGAATGGCATGCCGCCGCTTCTCCTCAGCTGCAGACAGCGCCAACTCAAGCTGTAACACTCGCGCCGCGGCGTCCTGCGCCCTGGATGCCACCTCTGTCAGCTGGGCGCCTGCCTTGACCATAGCCGCCTGCTGCTCCCTTGTAAGCGCCGCTACTTCATTCTCAAGTCGCCGCTGCTCCCGCGCCGCGGCCACTAGACAAGCGCGGCTCTCGCGTGCGTCTGCCTCCGCCTCGGCGAGCCCCGCCCTAGCTTCCCGCAGCTCCACCTCCGCCTTGGCCGCGCGAGTACCTGCCAAGCTTGCGTTGGCGGCGTCGCAGCGGTCGTGGGAGTGCCGACGCTCTGCCTGCTGAGCGCTGTGGAGCTGTACAGTCTCAAACTCAAGCTGCAAGCACCTGCATGCGGAGGGAGGACATGGCATGAGTGGCAAGCGTGGGGGCACTGCATCATCGCAAAAAGGGTTTCCAGGACACGCCTGGGGGGATTTATCGGGGGTGCTTTGCTTCAAGCAGCCGACGTTAGCACAAGGCAAGCAGGGCTGTGTAGCACTTCAACGGATGCCGTGATGCGGACAACAGCATGTTATTGGAGGTTCGTTGCTCTTGCCTGAGCGCCTCCTCATGCTGCTGCCTGAGCTCTGCCGCTTTCGCCTCCCAAGTGCCTCGCTGCTCCTCTACCCGATCCTTGCTGCTGCGCCGCAGCTCGACCGCGCTCGCTCTCAAGCTGTCATTGCCGCGCTGCAGCACCTCTACGTGTCGCGCCAAATCCAGCAGCAGAACCCGCAGCTGCTGCAAGGTGCGCGTGGACGGGCGAGAAGAGAGGACCACAGAGCGGGCAGTTCAGCAGACGTGGTGAGGCAGTAGCGCTCAAGGTTGGCAACAGTCCGCATACCTTTCTAACGATTGGCTGGGATGAACAACGCGCAAGGGCCCGCCTACCAACGACGCAAGGGCTCGCAGTGCCGACACACGTGCGCATCACCTCGTCAGATGATTGGTGGTGCCCGGCGCAAGGCGCGTCACGCGTTGTGCCCAGTGCTGCTGCGAGCTGTGAGGCAGTGTTGCGCAGCTCGTGGCTGCGCCTTTGAATCGACGACAGCTGTGTATGCAGGAGCAGTGTGGATTCCTTGAAGATCGGCAGGGAGTCACGTGATAAGCCATGGTGCTGGGCGTATAACAGCAGCGACTACATGCAGTCGTCTAGGCAAACTTGTCACCTTGGCGAGCGCTGGAGGTTGGTGCGTGCCAGCGCTCTCGTTGCCGCTGTCGCTGCTGCGCCCGCAGCCACCACCAGCCCCCAAGGAAGGACTGGCTTCACGCTGCACTTCTTCCAGCAAAAACAGCTGCTGGCCCACACAACTTTGCCCAGCCACCGCCGCAGCCTCAGCGCCTCGACCGCTGCCTGGTCCAGCGCCCTGTCCAAGTAGGCCTGCCGCTGCGGGCCAGTCGCCGTGCGTCGGGCAGGCCTTCTCGGCGTCGCCGTCATCGCTGGTTGTACTGCTGCCATCCGAGAGGAAGCCTGCCGCCACACCAGCGTCTTCAAGGCCCTGCATATTCCGCATGCCCCAGGGTGAGCGCCATGGCTCGTGAACTTGAATCCATGCTATACCATGGTTTTCATTGCTCCGAGGCTTTCCACAGAACACCGCTGGCTGTCATTTGGCAAACAGACAATGGCGCCTGCACATCAACGATGATGCAGCCTGGCCACTTACCAGCTCGATTAGCAGCAGTTGTGTCGCGTCGTCGGTAGGCGCGGCAGCGGCAGGTCTGGTTCCGTTGCGGGCTGCTGCACCAGGCGCTGCGCCACTGTTCTTCAAAGTCTCATGCGCCAGGGACGGGTCATAGTGGTCCTGCAAAGATTGTGAAATCGCAAGCTGCAGCGCTCGGTCCTGCAGGAGTTGATGTTGTACATACGCAGCGGCACCAGTGTCGCGCGGGATGCGCTGCAGCAGCAGCATGCACCGGGAAAGTGGGCGGCGCGCCGGCCTCATATGCGCGAACCTTTGATCTCTTGGTTACCGTCATCGCAGTCTTAGAGGTATAGACCTCCTCTATCCGGTTTGTCAGATCGTGGCACCCGCATTCAATCCCGTATGCTACCAAACAACGTGATGAATTTTGGCACCGTAAAAAGTATGGCATCGTTTCTCAACATATCGCCGAGATCACAACATGCAGCCTGCGCGTATGCGTTTGACCCAGCACGTGGGTCAAACGCAGGCCTGCGTGACTATCGGCAACGCCATCAACGCCATCAACGCCACCTTCACATTCAGGAGGACCACCGCATGGGAGCTCAAGATGATGCTGGGGCGGTCTGACGCACCCCAATTTACGCATCGGTATCGCAGTTGTCAGGCTCCAAACCGCGCTCCATTGGGAGCGCAGCTTTGCTCAACCACAGATCTGAATTCTGAGTGCACTCCATTTGCTGGATATAGAATTCGGGTTGCATTGAGTGGCAGCACTCCGCACGCCTACCCAGCACCTTCAGTCAAGAATGAGGCACCGTACTTTCGCCGAGCTTGGCTCTCAGCGCAGGGCACATCGCCCCCCCCCCCCC